CCGGCCCCCTCCCCGCGTCCGGCCCCGGAGACTGGCCTTCGGGGCAAGGAGGCGAAGTCCCGGTGCAAGGTGGGGGACCAACAGCCGAGAACGCCGGGGTCCCGGAGCCAACAGGTGCGGGGCTTGGGGGACCCCCAGGCCCGGGGTGGGGGGTTCCAGAGGACCCTCAGCGGGAGCCAAGAGTCTCGGGAGGTAACCTGGGTGCTGGGAGGCTGGTTCCCCAGCAGGCTCTGCCTTCCCCCCACCCCACCCCCCACCGCAAGCTTAAGGCAAGCTCCTAAAGAGCCCCTCGCGCCCTCTCTCCCCCCACCGCAGCCCCCACAGCCCCCGAGTTGCGCGGAGGTCCTACTGTGGGAGTGGGTCTGCTGGCTCCTGGTAAGGGTAAGAAGGAGCCCCCTCATCCTCCCTCAGCGGTCTCCAGGGACCCGCAACCCTCCTACACACGTCTGGGGTCGCCCCTGCCCAGCCAGGGGAAGGAGGGGTCTGAGCAAGCGAGGAGGGGCGGGGTGCGAGGCCGGATTTATGAATGGAGAGGGCGACCTGCGCGCTGGCCCAGCGACCCCTGGCGGCCGCCGGGGCGCATCGCGGCTGGGATTCAAGAGGGGGACCAGAGGGGATGGGGGTGCTGGTGGACCCAGCTGCTGGGTTTAGGGGGCTCTCCCCTTGCTTCCAGGGAGGTTGTCAGTTCCTCCCTGCACCTCTCCTCACACTGGGTGTGCGTGCGCGTGTTTGTGTGTGTCCACCGGGGAGGTTCTGGCAGGTTTTGTGGGTGGGGCCTGGGTCTCTAAAATCCTCCCTTGACCGTTTCTTTCAACTAAAATTTCAAGCCTTTTAACCGATCCAGGAGAGAACATTTGCAATCGGGATGGCTTACCCTCCCAAATCTGTGATGTTTGGTGGATTCAGACAGACCTGGAATAGTAGCTTTGTGACCCTGAGCAAGGAGCTCAACCTCTCTGAGCTTCTATCTCCTCTTCTGCAAAGCAGGGCTCTTAGCAATGGCCGTGAAGCTGGCTTCCGGTGCCAGTTTCTGGGTAAAGCACTCTGCACTCATTAGAGCTCCTTACTCCTCACCGCGGCCCAATGAGGCAGGTTCAGTTATTACTCAATGGGATAGATGAGGAAACCAAGGCTGAGAGGGACGAGGTAAGTAACCCAACTGGTATGAAACTGGGATGCAAGGCAGATCTGTCTTTCTGTATCGATTCCAGGCTCCCCATAACCCACGTGACTGTGAAAACAAAGAGGGAGCTTATCTGCAAATTGCCTGGCACACCCCTAATGTTCCCTTTCTTCCTTCTTCCTTCCTTCAGAAGGTTCGGGGCTGGGACCCCAAAGACCTGAATGCAAGGCCCTGGGCCCCCTGAGGGAAGTGGGCTGAGGCCTGGCCCAGGTGCCCCCCTCCCTCAGCAGAGCCCAGGATGCCCCTCAGCTGCAGCGGCTCCTGAGCTCATGGAGCCCACCGCTAGCCCAGGGCCCCAGACGGGAGTCCCTGCTGGCAGCAGGGAACCATCCCCGGTGCCCCCAGACTACGAAGACGAGTTTCTCCGCTATCTGTGGCGCGATTATCTGTACCCGAAGCAGTACGAGTGGGTCCTCATTGTGGCCTACGTGGCTGTGTTCCTTGCGGCCCTGGTCGGCAACACACTGGGTACGTCTCTAGGTCCCTGTGGCGCCGGGGGCTTCCCCTGGGGACTGGGAGGGGGTCCTGGGCCTCGCTTTTCTCCCCATCCCACAGTCTCTACTGGATAATGTGGGGGAAGGGTCTTGCTGATGGGACTCAGCTAGACTGGGCATGGCTCAGCTGTTGGCTTCGATGCATCCTGGCCCCACCCTGCAGTCTGCCTGGCTGTGTGGCGGAACCACCACATGAGGACAGTCACCAACTACTTCATCGTCAACCTGTCCCTGGCTGATGTGCTAGTGACAGCCATCTGCCTGCCAGCCAGCCTGCTGGTAGACATCACTGAATCCTGGCTCTTCGGCCATGCCCTCTGCAAGGTCATCCCCTATCTACAGGTGAGCTCTGCCTGGGCACCCTTATGACCCCTCATCACACCAAGTACAAAAACTGTGGCCTTGCATAGGTCTCTGTGACCCTCAGACTTGCCTTTCAGACGGGACATGGTGGCTCAGTACTTTGGCAGTGTCATGCTTTATTGTTAGTAAGGGCAGCTGCCAGGCCCGACACTCAAGGACGCAGCCACAGCCCCATGTACTCAGAGACCCCCTCCTTCCAGGTCAACCCACAACATACCCACAGCCATGTGTGCACACATGTGCAATCACCTTCAGGCACATGGGCACTCAGTGGAGGAGAGAGGCACAGGCCACCATGACAGACAGCTGGGTCTGCTCCCTGATCCCAAGGGGGGCAGATTTGAGGGGGCCTGCTGGAAAGAGTCTCCTCTCCTCCCCTTCCACCCTGGGCAGGGCCTTCCATCCCCCAGTGGTGGGAATTAGGATGTCCATATGGGGTTGGTGGGGTGGCAGGAGGACTGGCCAAAGGCCCCAGAGGGCAGAAGGCACTCCTGGAGGCAATGCCCACTTACATCTCTGGCCTAGGTTCATCCCTGCCTCCCAGAATGAGGACTTTTCTTCCTATCAGCCTCGGGAAGGGATGGAATGTCAGGGCAGAGAGAAATGCCTCTTGAATTCCCATTATTTTGAGGTTTTCCACTCACCCGATTAGCTCTGGCAACTCTGAGGATAAAACAAGCAGATGAGGAAATTCACCTTAGGCAAGTTATCTAACCTTTCTGTCTTAGTTTCCTCATCTGTACCATGAGGGTAAGAATACCCACCTCTTGGGGTTGTTGTGAGGATAAGGAGGACAGTGTCTGGCATGTAGTTATTTCCAAAAATGTAAGTTATTATTCATGGTAGGAGCACCTTCTATATACCAGGTCTCAAGCTGGACATTATCCATCCATACTTTCATTATTCTCACAAGAATCCTGCCAGGTGGCTGATATATCCCCATTCTGCAGCTGAAGCTCAGAGAGGGTGAGAGATTTGCCTAAATCTACATAGCCAGTGAGTAGTGGAGTCAGGACTGGCCCTGCACCTGGCTGCCAGGTATTTCTAGGCTGTAGGCTCTCCATTGCACCCAGGGGCTCTGGGTGGCCCCTGAAAGGACTGACATTGCATCCCCATGGTGCAGGCTGTGTCTGTGTCAGTGGCCGTGCTGACTCTCAGCTTCATCGCCCTGGACCGCTGGTACGCCATCTGCCACCCGCTGTTGTTCAAGAGCACTGCCCGGCGGGCCCGTGGCTCCATCCTGGGCATCTGGGCGGTGTCACTGGCTGTCATGGTGCCCCAGGCTGCTGTCATGGAGTGTAGCAGTGTGCTGCCGGAACTAGCCAACCGCACCCGGCTCTTCTCTGTCTGTGACGAACGCTGGGCAGGTAACGGAGGGAGCCTTGGGTGGGCATCCCTGAAGTGGGCGCCTCTGGGGCATATGCCCCCAGGGCAGACAATCAGGGCACTTTGGGGCTGGGCAGCCCTAGAGTGGGTATCTCCTGGGAGGACATCCTAGAGCAGGTGCCTATAAGGGATACCTCCAGGGTGGGTACTTGCTCTAGTGTGGACATTCACCAGGGGTCCCTCCAGGATGGGCACCCCCGGGTTGGGCAACTCCAGGGTCTGTCTGCCATGGTGCCTGTATGGGGCCCAGCTGCAGCGGCTTGCTTTGGCCGTAGTCGGGGCAGGGTGGCAATGCTGAGCAGGGCAGGCTGGGGGCTCCCAGACTGGGCCCAACCCTTACATCTCTTGGCCCCTGCAGACGATCTCTATCCCAAGATCTACCACAGTTGCTTCTTCATTGTCACCTACCTGGCCCCCCTGGGCCTCATGGCTATGGCTTATTTCCAGATCTTCCGCAAGCTCTGGGGCCGCCAGGTGAGGCCCACTCTGGTGTCACTGTCTGGGTTGGGAGGGGACAGGGGGGCTGGTCTAAGGGAGCAGACAATCCTTTGCCTTCAGAACATGCATCCTGGCTACAACCAAAGAGAGACAAAACCGAAGGACACGTCAAACTCGAAGCCCAAAGTGCTAGTGGCGGCCCTGGAACCGAACGGTAACTAACACGGTTCCAGTATCAGTCATTTCCGGTTATCGGACCACACACTCCCGGCTAGTCTTGCCTCGCCTTCACCACCACAGATTATCCCCAACTTAGTATAAGAGGAAACTGAGACCCAGAGAGGCAAAGCCACTTCTCCCAAATCCCTCACCAGTGAGTGAAAGATCAGGGACTAAAACCCAGGCCTGTGGGGCTCCAGTGCTCAGTTCAGTGCCACAGGAAGAAGAGCACCTCTGTGTTGCTTTCTAAATTAAGCGCTTAGTTTGCAATGGCTTCACAACTATGTAACCAAAGAAGCAATATTACCCACTTCACAAATGCTGAGTAAGGGAACTGACTTGCCCGAGCCAACGAGTGGCCAAGCCTCTCTGGTTCCGGGGCCTTCCTTCTTTCCTCTATTGCAAACTGATCAACAGCAGGTTTTGTGGGCTTTTTTGCCGGTGGGGGGAAGGGGTGCTTAAACGCCCTTGGCATTAGTGGGACTGAGTCCTGGATCAGTGTCGGGGTGGGGGCAGGATGCAGGCCAGAATCTGAGCAGCCCTGCTGTCCTTCAACACTTTGACATCTGCTCCTCCATCCCCTGGTCAAGGTGGCAGGAGTCGCTATCCTTATCTAACAGGAAAACCAAGGCTCAGAAAAATGAGTTGACCAAGGTCTCATTGCTCATGAATTGCTGAGCTGGCTCTAGACCCCACGTTTCCTGAACTCTAGCCCCATGTCCCTCTGTTGTGGGGTGATTCAGGTGTCCAGTGTGGGAGAGGCTGTGAGGACATCTGTGGTTGTTCCAGGAGCCTGGAACCATCATAGGCTGAGAGGCACCAACCTAGGCTGGGATCTGTGCTCTCAGGCCCAGGCCATTCCACACTGCCCACCTGCTCACCCCTGGCTCAAGCCTCCCCCCGAATCAGGCATGGGTCAGGGGAGACACAACTCATCGCCCACCCCTCTCCCCACAGATGGAGGTGGTGATTTAAGGAAGATAGATGGGCAGCTGGGAGGATGTTTAGGCCCCAGGCTGTGACCTGGGGACTTGTCAAGGATCCCCTTCCTCATCTGTAAGGACCAATAATACCTTCCCCAGGGGCGTATTGTGGGTGGTTTCACAATGAGCGAGTGGAGAATGGAAGTACACTCAAGTCCAGAGCCTTGGTCTTTATCATGAATATGAGGTCCCTTCCTACTGCAAGGGTTTGTTTCCTTGCCCGCCTCCGCCCTGCCCCAGGAGCAGGCCCAGCAGAGCAGAACAACCCTCCCAAGGAGCTGTCCCCACCTCTGCTGTCTGTGTGTGTGCTAAACAGATCCCTGGCACCACGTCAGCCCTGGTGAGGAACTGGAAGCGGCCCTCAGACCAGTTGGAGGACCAAGGGCAGGGCCCGGGTGCAGAGCCTCCACCTCAGGTCCGTGCCTTCCTGGCCGAGGTGAAGCAGATGCGAGCTCGGAGGAAGACGGCCAAGATGCTGATGGTTGTGTTGCTGGTCTTTGCCCTCTGCTACCTGCCCATCAGTGTCCTCAATGTCCTCAAGAGGTGAGAGCATGTGGGGACTGGATGTGGGTGGGCAGGGCTGGTGGGGTCAGAGGAAGGAGCTCTCTGCTTTGGCCCTACCGAGCATCCACTGTGTCACCTTAGGGGCACTCATTTCTCTTCTCTGAGCCTCAGTCTCCTTATCTGTAAAATGTGAATAATAATTGTCCTGCCTCTTAGAACTATTGGGAAAATTCTTTCATCCTTTCACTCAGTCATCAGATTGTAGGGGCTGGCAACAAAGTGAACTAGTGCAGGGGACGATGCCTTCATGGAGGCAACATCTAGTAGGAGAGAGAATGGACAAATAATACCAGCCAGTGCAATGAAGAAAAATAAAATAGGGAAAGAGGTAGAGAGTGACAGTGACAGGTTGGTGGGGTTTTTAATAATTCTTTTTTTAGATGTAATGGTTAAGAAGAAAAAGGGGGCCTCTCTGAGGAAGTGACATTTGGCAGGGACTTGAAGAGAGGGGACAAGCCTACAGGTGTCTGGAAGAACAGCACTCTTAGAGGAGGGAACACAGGGCAAGTGAGAGGCCACGAGGTGCGGGGCAAGCACATGGGCCATTTGACACAAGACAACCTTAGTGTGAATCTGTGGCTGTGTGATCCTGGGAATAGCGCTATACTTCTCTGAACCTCAGTTTCCTTATTTGAAAAATGGATGGTGTTTATGACTCATCATTTTGCTGTGAGGATGGATGAGAAAGTGGAGGGGAAGCCCCAGGGAACCAGACAGCTGGTGACTGAGAAGATGGGCCCTGGTCCCTGTCCCTAAGTGCACTCTGGTCATACTCTCTGTGCTCAAGAACCCCAAACTGTGGTCAGGACCCCAGACCCAGAGGTCCAGGGAAGGCCACCTGGTGGACAGGAGGGGCAGAGGGACTCTTGCACTTAGAGCCCTTCATGAGCTGTGTCATCAACTCAGCTTCCTGTACTGAGCCTTGGCTTTTCCTGTCTGTTAGATGAGAATAGGGACTCCTGCCCCACATAAACATGTACACACATGTCTACCCCATTTCTGAGCATTCTGCACCCCCTCCTCCACCCCCGTGCTGGTCCTAGGGTGTTCGGAATGTTCCGCCAAGCCAGCGACCGAGAGGCCGTCTATGCCTGCTTCACCTTCTCCCACTGGCTGGTGTACGCCAACAGCGCTGCCAACCCCATCATCTATAACTTCCTCAGTGGTGAGTGGGCTGGGAGGCAGAGGGACTGAGGGTGGGTGGCAACAGTCCCCAGGACAACAGTCTCCCCATCTCCGTCATTCCCCACTGTCCTCCCCTTTAAGTGAAGGGCTCTGGAATTAAAATGGGGTCCAACTTTTGGCTAGGTGACGGTGGGCAAGCCACTGCACCTCTGTGTGTCTCACGTGTGGAGTGAGGATGAAGGACTCCAGCCTCTCAGGATGCTGGGATGAGCAAGGGCACAAGCTCAGGCAGTGCCTTGTGCGAGGGCTGCTGCTGCTGTCATGTTCATCACTGTGGGGCAGAGGTGGGGAATGCCTAGCCACAGACGCTGAGCCCTGAGACCCTCCATCTACATGCCAGTGAGGGCAGAGGTGACCTGAGGTCCTCGAGCCAGACACCACGTTTTGAGGCAGGCTCAGAGCCAGAGCACAGTCAAGGAATCAGATGAAAATTGCATTTCTCCTTGGGAACCTGCACTGGGGCCTCTGTCCTCACTCTCCCTGGCAGTAACGAGGTCGCCTTGGGGCTCTCTCCATCCCAGCTCTACCCTTCCCTCCCGCCCCCTCACAGGCAGCTTTGCTGGAGCTGCGTGGGTGTCCCTGAGCCCAAGGCCCCTTCCTGCTCCATCCGTCTCCTTACGGCTGTGTCTTCTGTCTCCCCACCAAGGCAAATTCCGGGAGCAGTTTAAGGCCGCCTTTTCCTGCTGCCTGCCCGGCCTGTGTCCCTGCGGCTCTCTGAAGGCCCCCAGCCCTCGCTCCTCTGCCCGCCACAAGTCCTTGTCCCTGCAGAGCCGGTGCTCTGTCTCCAAAGTCTCGGAGCACGTGTTGCTCACCAGCGTCACCACGGTGCTGCCCTGAGTGAGGGCAGGGCCGTCCTGGTGGCTCCAGGGAGTGCAACCTGTTCCCTGCCTGGGCTGCTCCCTGGGACCCGCCACCACTCCTTGTAGAAAGACTGCTGGATGCAGTGCAAAGCCAGGGGCTCCACTCCTGGTTTTCTGCCTGTTTAACTCTGGGCAAGTTACTTCCCTTCTCTGAGCTGTGTCCCCTAAGTGGGACTGATGTGAGGATTCAGCATGCTCAAGAAAGTGGCAAGTTCTTTGTAAACTGTAGTGTTATGGACAAGATTATCAGCTCACTTGGCCACACCCCACAGTACGATCCATCCTCATCATCCTTCCAGAGCTTGGCCTTCCTCCCAAAAATCCTTCTCCTCAATTACAGACCCTCCCTGGGGGGGGGGTCCCAATCAGCATTTCCATATGGCCCAGGAGCTCCCTGAAGCCCAGGCTGCACTTGGCCAGCTGCTCCTTGAGGCCTGTGTGAACTAATCTGAGCCCAGCCCTACCCGAGTGGGAACACAGCCCCACAGTCACCAGGTGCCGAGCACAGACACCGTAGGCTGGATCCCGTTGGTTATGTGGTGTGATCGAACACTCTCCATGTGGCTGTTTGGCATGGAGGCCAGCAGTCTGAGGCAACTGTAATTAAAAGCCTGACACTGAATGTTCCCTTTCCTTGTCATTGAACAAAATCTGTGCTTCTTAGGTTAGGAGTGAGAAGGTGGGGAGGCTGGGGGAGGGGAGAAGACAAGGCAGTGCTGGAATGCAATTATCTGCTGACCGCTCCCATCTCTCATCCATGATACAGGTGGGCTCCAAGCCAGGCCTCAGAGCCCACAGGTTGCTGCCCCCTCATTGATCCTCTAATGCCAGGTCCTCGATCCTGGCCACTTCTGTCTGCCTATGGGCCCAGAGGCCTATGGCAGGTAAGGGGGGGTTGGGTAGGCAGAGAGCAGAGTTAACAGACTGATTTACTCTTATCTTCACCTTCTTGGAAATCAGGGCTCGATTTTCTCTGAACTCACAGGATAAAAAGAGAAAGCCAGAGACTTGGCTAGACGTGCTCCGTCTGCCACCAAGATGATTAGAGGGCTGCCAGAGGCCCTGATCCTTGTTGCCAGAGCAGGGGGTGGAATGCAGTCTGAAGCACTCTCCACTGAGAGGAGCGGGAGGCAGCTGGCAGAGGCCAGCTCAGCCATGCGCACCGCCGGGTCTGCTTAACTTGATTAATGGTGCTGCGGGCTCCCGCTGACCTCACCCGTCAAGAAGTGGGGCAAAACCAAGCTCCTGCCAGGGGCCCAGCCCAGGAATGCATTAGCTCCCCTCCTCGTAGGCAGAGCAGGTGGAGGGAGTGGTCTGAGCACGTCATCCCGCTCTCCAGATGACTCACCAGCCCAGCTCGTGTGAACGTTTCCATAGACGTGCCGTCCTGCCAGGCAGGGTGGGCTGTCCTGCCCACTCCCCTCTCCCGCTGGCCTCAGGATCCAAAGCTGTGTAGTTTGTAGCCAGGCTGGAGGGGCGGCGTGCAGAATAAGGTATGAGGGCTGGCCCCCAAGCTCAGAACCGACCATGCCCACAAGGATGAACCCAGGTCCTGGGTTCCTCACCCCAGCTGAGCACAAGGGTGAGTGTGTGACCGGCACCATTCTAGATGGGGGCTTCGGGAGACACTTGGCTCAGTGGAAGCAAAGAAACAACAGCCGCTCCCCGAAGGGCTGCAGTTCTACACTGTTCTCTGCTGGTTGAACCCCGCACCACAGTGGGCCATTTTGGGGGACTCAAATGAGCTGGGGAAAATTCAGAGGAGGTGACCAGGATGCCAAAGGGAGTGGGGACTAGGGGAATGTGGTGGCAGGTGCCAGATGTCTAGAGGGCTGGCAAGCAGAAAGGGGTGAAATATGTTCTGGGTGGCCCGAGAGAGAAAACCATACCAATGGGTGGTGTTTTCAACGTGGCAGGATCTGGAGTCCACGTCAGGAAGAAGTTCCCACTAGTCAAGGAGGAAATGGGCTGCCTGGAAAGGCACTGACTTATTTGACACTGGAGGCTGGCAAGCAGATGCCAGACTCACAGTGGGGTAATGGAGAGGGTTCTAGCTCCAGGTGGGGCTGACCTCTGGGAATTGGATTCTACCTAATTCTAGGATTCTAGCACAACTGCAGCCCAGAGGAGAATGGGGCTGAACTGGCTGAGCCTGACATGGCTGCGGGGCCTCACTGAGCTGCTTCCCCAACCCAGAAGGAAAAAGATTAGCTCACCATTACCCAGCATAAGACCCCCCAAGCAAACCAAAATGGCTGGTGTCTTGGCTTCGGACTGCAACTTTGCAGATACTATAGACATTCAGTGTAGGCTGGTTACCACGCTGATTTAAAGATCCAGCTGGCAAGTACAGATGTCTGTGCTTGGTAAAAATGGGGGGAAAGTTATGACTTCATAAATGCAATTTGTCTTGAAGACAGAACTAGGGCTTGAGATAACAAAAAGGCCATGCTGTGAAAAGTTTGGAGTGGCTGCTTCTAGCCCAGAATGCCAGCCCTAAAATCGTTATAAAATACACAGTAGGCTTCTAGAACTCAACCTGGCAGGTCGCTACACTTAATTTCACCCTGGTAAGTGAGAGCAGCCCCATGGAGGCCATATCCTCCTGAGCGGCTTCTTTCTGCATGGCATGGTTTATACTATTTACTTAAATATTCCTTGAATGGAAAAATAAATGAGTGACTGAATGGATGAACTTGTAGTTGGGAAGGTGTGGTGGAAAATGTGGAACTCCAGAGTTTTATCTTTTTATTGAAGCTTACAGTTTCATTGAACTTTTGGCCCCGAATGAAAAAACTGCAAATAAAAAAAAGGATTGGCAGTGGGAGGTGGCAACCTGTCCCATGGGGACTGAAGCCAAGCAGAGGGGCAAGTGAGGGGCCCAAGCTGCAGAGGGGTAGCCTGGCCAAAGATGCCCAGGGAGCAGACTGTCCAAGCTTCCTGAGCAGGGACAGCCACAGGCAACTAGAATTCAACACACACGGACTTGTGGGGTGGAATTCAAGCCACTGGTCATGCGGGCAAATCTCTCACCCTTGGTCAGACTGCACTTTGGAGAAACTGGGTCCATCTGACAAGACAGCACGCGTGACGGAACACAGGTAAGAGGCTGATGAACACTTAACACTGGCGTCAGGGCATAGAAGGAAAGCTAGAGGCTGGAGCCAGCCGATTAGACACTAACTTCTTGCAGTGACCGGCATCTCTTGCACCTGGTGCAAGGCTGTGCCTTTTAAATGCTCAGGGTTGTAATTCAGCTTCCAGGCTTTTCCAAGGTCAGGCACCTATCTATGTGGTCTCAGCCCAGGTCCCCACTATTTGGTGGCTATGACATAGAACTCCCAGCCCTCTTTGGAAACAGTGCTGCATCAGGCAAGGGAGAATTCTTTTTTTAGGAGGGGCAGGAAAAGAAGAGAAGCCCACATGCTTCTCCACTCTAGGAGCCAAGAAAGGTCCCCTGGTGCACTCCCCACTCTATAGATGGGCTGGTCATAGCATCCGAGAGGCTGTCATGGTGACGAAGTCCTCGAAGCTGAGACGAATGTTGCCCTGCACAGCTGTGTCCTTCTCCCGGAAGGCCTCGGTCAGCACCTGCAGCTGGGTGCATACCTGGATGAAGCGATCGAGCTGCATGGAGGGATTGGCGGAGCGCGGGCAGTAGCGGGAGACCAGGAGCTGGGTGAACTGGGGGCTCAGGTTGTAGCCCATCTGGGACAGAGCTGGAGAGGTGGGGCACACAGAGCAGACACAAAAACTTGCTGTGAGCACTGCCATTGACCAGTGCTCAGCAGTTCAGCAACTCCAAGGGGACTGGAACCAAAGCAGAAACAGGACAGACGTCCTGAGGGGTGTCCAAGATGGCAGAGGCACGCCAGAGGCTGTGTCTGGATGCTTTCCTTAGATGGAAGGCCCCCATCCCTCTTTCTCCAAATTTCCATTGCCATCTGTTTATTTAGGGGTCTGTAGGGTCCCAGAGTGCCACCAGTCTGTCTGTGCTCATCTTTGACCTCTGCATTACAGACAGAAGCCTAAGCCCCCTCGGGCCACCCTGCTCAGGGCAGATGTCTGAGGCAGCTCAGCACAGAGGCTATGAAAGCCTGCTCTGGAGTCAAGACAGCCCCCCAGTAAGATGCTTATTAACCTTGCTAAGCCTCTGTCTTACCATCTCTAAAATGGGGATAATACTTACCTTATAGGTTCTAATAAGGATTAGAGGAAGTGATCAAGCAAAGCACTTGGCATAGTGCCTGTGGGCATAGTGCCTGGCACATAACAAGCACTCAGTGTTATTTGTTAAAACTAATAAAGTCATCATCATCCCCCCAGGCGAGGCTGTGGGGCAGTTCCAAGGTCACAGCCTCCATGCTGCTCCCCAATCTCTCTACCTGGGATGCTTCCTTCTTCTCTGTATAATCTACCAGCTCAGGCTAAAATCTCAGCTCCGTTTTTCCTATGTGGCCCTTGGGTAAGTTATCTAGACTATGCCTCAGTTTTCTTTTCTGTAAAAGGGGTAATAATAAGGGATCCTTCATCTAAGGGTGGGGAATAAGATAAAGCGGCTATCGCATGGGAGAAAGAATGATGTAACATTTTGAGTGCATCCTTAGAAAACTAAATGTGACAAAAACCCAGGACATATTTGGAAATTGTATGCTCTCTAGCAACTTTGTGTGAATTTTTGTACAAGCACTGTTTTATGAGTTATATAAAATGTTACAAAAATAGAAAAAAATGATGTAACATATAAAAAATGCTTATTACAGTGCCTGGCCCATAGCAAGCATTCAATAAATATTAGCTTTCTTGTGATAGTATCACCCTCACCAATGTCCATCACTGGATCTGGCAACAGAGTTTAGGTGCTCAGTCCAGGTTGCCTCCTTTCCCTTCCACCGGGGGGCTGCCCCAACCGCCTGCCCCACCCACAGAGCTTCTCAGTATGACTGAAATCTGTGTCCAGGGCAAGCGGCTGGGTTCTCTGGGGAGTCCTCTCTCCCTCTCAGGTGGCAAAGCTCCCTGTCTGGTTCTCAACACCGCACTAACTACCCATCCTCTAGACTAAGAAGTGGAACCAGACCTGGAGCTGTGGCTAAGCTGGGTCATCTTACCCAACTGCAATTTTTAGAGTGGTCTAGGTTCCAGAGCTGGAAAGAAACTGTCTTCTAGCAGAACTAGCAACAGAAGCCATCTTTCTAAGCCCCTCTACAGGACACTTTCCATTCTGCATGCTGGAAACTAGAGAGGAAGGAGCCACCCAAGCCACACGTCCTGGTCTCAAAGTGCCCCAGGCTGCCGAGTTTCCATCCCCAAGGCTCCCTGCCGGCTGGGCCTGTCTCTCCTAGCGCTGCCAGATATCCCATCGCCAGAGTCCAGCCCTGATCCAGTAGCCAGGTGTTTCCTTGCCCTGGATTTCAGCTTACTGCCCAGTCAGGTCACAGAAAGGGTGGGGAGTGGGCCTGTGCTGAGGGCAGCATCTTATAGTGAGTGCAGTGGGACATTTGGTGGTCAGAGGCTAGAGGGAACCCCATGCTCTGTCTTTGGGAGAAAGAGAAAGATCCAGCTCCACCTGTGCACTGAGTCCCGGGCACGGCCCTCACCTTGCTGCAGCTCTGTGTAGCTAATGGAGCCCGAGCGGTCCCGGTCATACTGCTGGAAGAGGTTCTTCCACTGCTGGATGAATTTCCACAGGGCCGAGAAACCATAGACGTCAATGCGTCCTGACTTGGTCTTGTCAAACATGTCTTGGAGGGAAGGGAAAGAAAGCTTCAAGACTAAGGTTCTCAGAGACCAGTGAGGCAGCCTTCCTCCCTAGGCCAGAGTACAAGGCGCCATAGAAACGAGGCCTGAGGCCCAGATGTCCCCAAGACATACCCATATCAAGTATTGTACCAGTGCCACCCCCGGTCACCCTCAGCCCCACCACTGCCAGAACTGCATTTTTTCTGCAGCTTTGGGGGCTGACCACCCCCTGCCATCTCCTACCAGGACAGGGAGTCTCATTTGTGCAGAATGAGAAACTGAGTCAGCCTAAGACTCAGTAAGGTCTAGAACTTGAGAATTGATCTAAGGAAAAGAGCTCCCTGTCTAAGGGACCTTGCCTTGAACCCAGTTTCCTGCCTGAAATTCCTCCCTGTCCAAAATATTTCTCCTCAGAATGGCCTCCCATCTACCTATCATCAGACAGGAAGTGGCTCGGCCTCAGCTCGAGCCCACAGGGAAGGGCTAGGACTCACTTATCATCATGAGACATGTCTCATCGTTGAATGAGGACCAGTTGGAGTTGACCAAGGCCTGTTTCAGCTCCTTGATGGAGATGTAGCCACTGTGATCAGAGTCCACTGACTGGAACCAGGAGTAAGCCTCGGGGTCCACATTGGGAGGAGCGCCACCTGCAGGAAGGGGTGCCAACCAGGGGAATCAGACATAGGTCTCAAGACCAATCCGCAGAAATGCTGGGAAGGGCCAGCCTTAGTGCCTCCCTGACTACAGGTTTTCCCCATCCTAAAAGCCTCATAAATCCACCTACCCCGTCCCTGTCTTCCATCAAGCCATCATCCTTACTCTGGTAGAAAAGGACCTTCTGTGTAAACTCAGAAGTATTTGCAGTTGATTTCTACTCCATAAATCCTTTACGCTTTTCCTCTAGTGCTCTAGTCACTTCTCTATTTAAGTTTCTAAGGAACACGGACTTGTCTGGAAGATTAAGAATTCTCTGAAAAGGGGGATTATCTCTTCCCCACAGACTGGGAACCCCAAAAAAGTTTGCTAAGCACCTAACACGCACAGCCCAGAGACAAGCACTTTGAGAGTCGTAGCAGTAGGGAGCTCTCTGGGGGGGACACCAGGTCCGACCCATCCCTGATTGCTCCGGCACAGTAAGAGTTGGCATATCCTATCTGCAGCTACCAGAGTGTGGGTGGTCACGAAGCTCCACCTCTCTTTCCTCCCCATCACCACCAGTGTGCCATGTGCATCCCCATCTCCAAACCTCCCTGCAGATATCTCTGACACCTCCTCACTCGACACATCCAAACAGCTGCCCAATGCTGGCTGTTCCACACACAGGCATCATCTCCTCCCTGTTCCTAGTGCACCTGCCCTGATTCAGACACCCTTCACCTGGACCAGGAAAAATCCTAACCAAGTCATCTTTACAATGACTCTCCGCCACCCAGCACTTCCTACCGAGTAATCTCTATAAAATTCCTCTCTGTTTTCACCAATTTCCCCCCACCTCAACTCAAAATTCTTCAAAGGCTCCCCACTGCCAACAAAATAAAGTCCAGCATCCCTAAAACAGCATTCTAATTCCTCCACAATGTGGTTTACCCCCATCTACTTGTCACTCTACCCCGTCCACCTGTTCCAGCCTCGATGCCTAATACACTTGCTCTCACCCAGACCTGCACCCTGTTCCAGCCTCGATGCCTAATACATTTGCTCACACCCAGACCTGCACAGCCCCAACCCCAGGAAGCCTTTACTCACTGGGTTCTCTCCGCCTCATACCCCCTTCTCCCTCATCTCTTTGCATTCGTTTCCCATCCATCCTTCAAAATCCAAATAAAACCCTGTTCCTTCCATAAAGCATTCCTTCTTCTTCCAGCCCTGGACAGGCCTCCTTCCTCTCTCCTTCATACACCTCTCTCTATAATCACTCCACTGTGTACATGTTTCTCCCTACTTCTTCCAGGTTAGACTTGGAGCAACTTGTGGGCAAGACCTCAGCCCAGCTCATTTCTGACTCCCCAGGAGCTAGCACGGAGCCGGACACGGAAAGGGGAGGTGCTCGATTCATGCTAGAGTTGGCTTCATGGTTCAAGCCCCAGCTCTCCCATGAGCAGCCTTGGTTAAGTTATATAAGTTCTCTGTGTTTCAGTTTTCTTATCTGTGGAATGAGCACACAACAGCATCAACTTCATACGGTTATTGTGCAGACATAATTAATACATAAAAACCATTAAATCAGCACCTGGCACCATCGAAACACTACATAACTGCTGATTATTCATGTTGTTGTCGTGCTTCAAACAGCTTTGTGTGTCTGGGAGCTTTTTGTGTATGTGGGAAGATGGAAGAAAGGGTCATTCATTTGGAAAGACACGCAGGGTGAGCTGGGGGTGAGAGGAAAGGGTGGCAGATCAAAGTGGAGAAGCACAGAAGACCAGACCTTTTGGGATAAAGCCAGTTACACAGTATTGGGAAACCTAGGGAGCTGACAGGACACAAAAAGGGCTCCTTCACACAACGCAGTATGAGACACAGCACAGAAACCACCACCCAGTCCTAAAGGAAAAAGGTTTGCTGACTGTGGGACTAGTCTGACTGCCTCAGCTGGGAAATCCAGGCAGGTCCCACCCTTTTACCTAAAACGGCCACTGTGCCATGGGGGAGAGGAGGCCACAGGCGCCAGCAGGAGTCTCTGTGACGTGTGGTCTGTGCAGTTAGCACAGGGGAGCTCAGGCTCTGAAGCAAAGAGCTCTAATCCTTACTAGCCTGCATGACTTTAGATACACTGTTTCATTGTCTGTGTACTGATCCCCATTTCTAAAATGCATCTACTTCCCAGGGTTGTTGTGATGGTTAAATGAGACAACAGTAAAATCAAGTGTTCACAGAAGGCCTGGAATGTGCAGTCACATTTTCACAGAGGAAGGGCTATTTAAACCAGGCTGAGAAGAAGAAAAAGCATGTTGGAAAGGCACAGAGTGTGTCTGGAGTACTCCCAGGGGTCTTGGGTTGACGGGAGGGAGGAGCAATGGCAGGTGAGGAGCTGGAAAGGCCCTTTGGGAGTCGAGGGCCCTGAGGATCTTTCCTGTGGGCAGTGGGGCACCTTTAATGGTCACATCTCTCCTGAAGAGCAGGTGCTCAACCTTTAGACCTGGAGTCAGTGGGCCTAAGGTGGGGCCTTCAGGTGACTCCAAGGCAGGTGTGTGGATCATGCTTTAAAAAGCACTGCTCTGGGAGCTCACTGGAGGCACTGGAGAGGAGGCAATGATGGCCGGGTGAGAGGAAGGTGGGCTGAGGGTGAGCAGCTAAGAGTCTGAAGCACATCTCTCCGCTCCTCTGCAGCCCTGGAGAGATAAGCCTCACAGCCAGCTTCCTTTCCCTGCAATGACCTCACGTAGGCTCAGGGACAAGATTTTAAACCGAGGAGGAAATCCACCAGCAAGCTGCTGAGCTAAAAGCAAACGGCCTGCAGCTCCAGCTCTGCTGAGATAAATGCCACTGGCTCACAGTGTTTAGAACCCTCAAGGGCAAGACTCTCCCTTGGCCACCTGCCGGGTATGTATGCTAAGATGCTGAGCTCCCCGGCAGTACCCTTCCCCGGAGGCTCTGCAAGTGCACCAGAGTTGCCTCACTGCTGGTGTGGCCTCCTGGGAACCAGCGTGCTGTGAAGAGGCTGACTGAGTCTGGGAGGATGCAGGGGTATGGACACTCACCGTCCCTCACCCTCTATCAGAAACTACTCAGAAATCTTCACTGAGCCTGAAGCCCCCACCTAAAATTCTCTGCCTCCATGAGTTGCCAAATCCCTTCCCCCATCTTGTCCAGTACCTCGCCTTTACTGTCTCTTGCTCTTTATCCTTCCCCATCTCACTCTATCACTCTCCTGCCTGCCTCAGCATCTTTCGGTGGTATGGCCCTTGGCACATCTGCCATCACGTTAGATGCCGAATGCCTCTTTGCTGAGAAAGCCCCAGAACAAGTCTTCTCACAGAACATTGCTTACTAAGCCCCTGCCATGTGCCAGACACTGTGCCCAGTGTTTACTTGCACCTTCTCACTTAATCTTTAGTAACAATCTTGCTGTACGCCAGAAATTAACACAACATTGTAAATCGACTATACTTTAATTAAAAAAACAAAAAACAATCTGGTGAGCTAGTAACATTTACCCATTTTATAGATGTGGACACTGAGGCTTAAAGAGATGAAGTAACTTGATCAGTCAGTAAGTGGTCTGGTCTCAAAAGCCCAAGCTTTCAACAACTATGCTACCTTGCCTTTCTACATATAATGGTCAGTCTCTCTTACACATAAATGGGGTTCCTCCCCCTGAGACTGCAGTATTATCTCCAGTTATTTGCTAAGCCACCCCTCCCCGGTTTCCCTGAAAGAGCACTGTGCATCCTCTCCCTGCCTGGTAGTTAGCAGAGCCCCTCCAATGATAGGAGTATCCACTCCTATCCATCTGATGTCAGGCTTGACCAGAGGATGTGGTTTGGCCAATAAACTTGAGTAGAAGATATATAAAGAACTTCAAAGCAGAAGCTTTAGGAGGCGTCGTGCTCGCTCTCCTGCTCTTTTTGTTTGCCATGAGAACAGCATAACCCAAATAGGGGATATGCCGCCCCTCCAGCCTGGATCCTGGAAAGAAAAGACACGTGGAGCAGAACCTCAGCAGCCAAGCCTGCAGCTGCCAACATGTACGCAAGAGTAAATAAGTGTGAATGAGCAACAGAAATAAATGTTTGTCGTTGTAAGCCAAAGAGATTTTGGAGTTGCTGTTACCACAGCAAAGCTAACTAACAGAGTTCTCACTCTGCTAATGAAAGCTGAAGCTGGAGGCAAGATGCTAAGGCATCAGAGACCAGGCTGCCTGCACATCCACAGGAAGGGCAAGGAAGGGTGCTGGGTAACTCACAGCAAGGCTGGGGGCACCTGGAGTCCAAGATCACTACTTACCTGGAGGAGGTCCCTGTCCATAAGGCCCAGGATGCTGGGCACCATAGGAATTTGGAGATGGCTGACCATAGGGGCCCCCGGGGGCCCCACCGCCATATGGTCCTCCTGGCGTTCCGGATGGGAGCCCCCCAGGGTTGGGGTGTCCATAGGGTCCTCCACCAGCTGGTGGTCCATAAGGCCCTCCAGGGGCAGGACCTCCCCCATATCCACCACCAGGGGGTACCCCACTACCATACTGCCCTCCACTATGGGGGGCTCCGGGGTAGTAGCTACCGGGGGGGGCCCCGGGCGCTTGTCCTCCAGCTCCTGGGCAGCCCTGCAAGAAGAGCAAGACATCAGTCAGAACGATAGGGTCAGAAGCTAGCCATAGTCTGGCACTTTACAGTCATAAAGTACTGCCACTGCCATTCTTTCAACTGATCCTATAGGCTGGACTGGAGTTATGATCCCATTGCTCAGATGGGGAACCTGAGGCTTCTAGGAGATACAGTTTACCCAAAGTCATGTTGCCAATGACCTGCCCTCCTGGCTGCCCTTCCCTGCACACCAAGGGGCTCCATAAGGGCTGGGATCATGTCTGGTTTGCCACTTTATCCCCAGCCCTCAGGGCAGAATGGATGCTCAGTAAATATTTACTGTATGAGTGAGCAGGCAGAAGAATCAAACTGAATTCCAAATCCTCACCCTGTGGTACCCCATCTCTAGGCGCAGAATTCACAGTGCAAATGTGATCTCCACCACATGCCCCTGACCCTCTTCAGTCACAAATGATGTATCCACAGCAAAGATTCATCCATAGCATTCCTTCCTCACCCCACTCTAGCTCATGATGCAAAAACACTTCCCTAGCCTCACTCACAGTTCTGTGAGACAAACAGGCAAGACTTTATTCCTAAGGCAATAAAAGACAATGGTTAAGAGTGAAAAAGACCAGTTCAAGTTTGGGGTCTGCCACTTACTGACTGGTCTAACGACTTACCCTCTCTAAGCCTCACTATCCTTTGTGCTAATAGTGCCTGCCTCCCTCTCAGGTTAGTGTATGAATGAAATAAGGCCAGTCATGTAAGGGGCTCTGAAACGGGCCCTAGCACAAAGTAAGCACTCAGTGCACACCAGCAACAGTAGCACTTTGCTATGGTGGAGGAAACGCGAGTCCAGAAAAATCACACAAGAACTGTGCCAAGGGTCTGGGGCCAGAATCCAGGTCTCCTACTGCTAAGCCCAGGTCATGTGTCCATTAGAGCATACATGGGAGCACTCCCTCTCTTGTCCATGTCCCCATGCCACTAGCCAGGGATCCCTGAAGCTCAGAGTGTTCGGCTCCATCTCCCTAAATGGCCAGCAAAAGGCCTAGGGGAACACAGCCCCAACATATCTGCAGACAGGCTGGCTCAAGGGCAGAGAGCAGCTGGGCCCAGCTCTGAGGATGGTGAGGACGGTATCATCTAGACATGGTCCAGCTCAACCCAGAAGGCACACCAGTGGCCTAGCTAGTGAGAGCCCAGACTTCCTCTCGTAGTTGTGTTCGCTAGCTTCCTGGACAGCTAGCCTCCAGGCTAAGGCCAGACTCATACTTCACCTAAAGAGGGTCTGCTTGCTCAAGGAAGAGAGGTTTCTGAGAGACGGGGGGAAGCAGGCCCTCCACCTTCCCCACTCAGCATCGTGGGAGCTCTTCTGCCCTGGAAGCTGCCATAGCTAGTGGCAAGACTCCCTCACCGAGGATGAAGCCACAGGCCAATCCCAACTCAAAACTCTGTTCTCATCAGCTGAGTTCATGACCATGGGCCAGTGGCTTCATCTCTCTAAGCCTATTTCTTCTCAAGTAAAATAAAATAACCCCTTCCTCATTATTCTGCAGATTACAAGAAATGAATATGGCAGAATTTTGTCAGTATCATTTTTAGCTAAAGAACCTTCTGATAAATAGAAATTTAAAAAGTGGTAAAAGAAAGCTGCTCTGGTTGAAAGCGGAGACTTAAGAGCCCCAACCATGCAGGCCCCTCCTTTGCCAGCGTGTGAGGGAGCCCTGCGGAACCCTCACAGTGGTTCAGAAGTCAGTTTGAAAACCATTAATATAAGAAAAATAGTTCTTACAACAGTGTCTGGCATAATTCATAGCTTCTATTGTTATTATATTAATTATGATTATTCTTATCATCAAAGCCCTGAGCCAGGTAAACTCTAGGGGCCGGGGTGTTTAAAGGAAAGTCAAATGTCTGAAGGAGCTCACAGTTGATACGAGAGGCATGGAAACATTCTCTATAACATCTAACAAAACAACATAAGGAAATAGGTCTTTAAAATGAAGACATAAGCCATGCACCATGGGACCACAAAGGAGGGTGAAACTGGGGAGGGTTTCCATGGGAAAGCAGCATTTGGATTAGGACTTAAAGAATAAAAAGATTCCGCTGGAGAGGGCGATGGGAGAGGTGCCCAGCAGACCTCTTCAACCTAACCCCGTCGGTTTACAGATGGGGAAACTAAGGCCAACTGAGGGGAAGGGACTTGCTCAAGAACCGCTGTGAGTGGGAGGCAGAGGTGGAGTTAGATCACTCCCCATGCACATCAGAGCGCAGTGACTCCCACTCCCTCCTGCTACAGTGCTCTTTCCTTAAGCAGTGGGGCACTTTCCAAAGCACAGTAGGCTAGAAATGGGGTGGGGACTCTGCAGAGTCTAGGCACACCCAAAAGAACAGGTTGGACACCAAGCTAGGAAGTAGCCAGTCCACAAGAAGCCCTGTGAGCAAAGCCATTCACGGACGTGGCTTAGGGCATCTGAACAGCCCTTCCCCCTGGGAAATGCCCCCACACCAAGCAAGCTGGTGCTGCCAGGCAGATCTTCTGGCTTTGGCGTAATCACAATCCAGGTGTCTGGTGCAGCCTGGCAGCAACTGAACCCTTTTCTTTCTGCCCTGCATTAAAGCCCTCACGTGTAGTTTACTGTATAGGAACCATACCACAATAAAGGTGTTTAATAAATAAATAAATATATTTATTTATTTATTTATTTTTATAAATATATATAAATAATATATATATTTATTTATATATATTTATTACTCACATGTACAGTTTACAAAGCACTTTCACATACACACAAATGCTACTGGCCAAATCCTGCCAACAATCCTCTAACAGAAAAAAAGAAGATATAATTAGTAGGTCTACTTTCAGATGAAGAAACTGAGGTGCACAACTGTTAAAAGACTTCATTCATTTGGCAAGCATTTACAGAGCAATATATTGTGCTAGGCTCTCTGCTAGGCTTGGGGGCACAAAACTAAACAGGGCTGGCCTTGAGGAGCCCCAGATAACTATGATGCAATCTGATCAGTGTCATCAGAAAAATCTACTTAAATGCTATCAAGGAAGCATGGCCAGAGGAATTGGTTCTGTCTGTTAAAGATTAAATGAGCAATCAAATGAACAAATGCAGGCAGTGGGTTAAGGAAGGCTTCCTGGAGGAGGCAGGAGTAATATTGGAGCTGGCATTGAAGGATGCACAGACATTCCCCAAAAGGCAGGCAGCAAAGGACATTCCAGACAGAAGGGAGAAGAAAGACAAAGGCACAGAGAAAGACAAAGGCACAGACCTACGAGCGAGCATGGAGGGGTCAGGGTGTGGGCTAAAAAGCAGGGGGCAGAGGCAGGAATGCAACGTGAGCTCCAAAAGGCAGTCTCTTTACACGCTCCTTGTCCAATCACCTCTCCTGCCGCATTTCAGTCAGCTGGTGGGTAACTGCGTCTTCAAGCAGTTTCTCTCTGTCACGCAACAGTGAGCTCCCCAGGGGCAGACACTGGGCCTCATTCATTGTGGTACCCCAGGGTCCAGCAGAGTGCCTGGAATGGGCAAGCCTCCATAAAAATGTGAACAAACAAATACCACTCTAAAGATCTGGGGCTTTATGCCGGAGGAAACAGAGCGCCATAGAAGGGTTTCCAACAGGGAAGAAACGTGATCAGAGCCTTGTTTTGCGAACTAACCAGCGGTAGTGTCAGCGGCAGTGTGGAGGATGAGCTAGCGGGGGAGGCAGCAGCCTAGGTGCTGGACACGCAGGGCTGGAACCAGACAGCAGACTCAGAGAGAACGGGATGGAATCTGAAGCTATTTCAGAGATAGACCAGACATGACTTGGCAACTAATTAGGTTAGGGAAGCAACAGAGGGGGGAGTGAGGAAAGAGAAGTGTTTAGAATGACTCAGGTTTCTAGCTTGCACCAGAAGATGAAGAAAGTGAAACCACCAGAATCCAGGCTGGAGAAGATGGTTCCCAGGGTCACAGAGTTGTTAGTAAATATCTGAACCAGGAATGAAAACCAGAGTGCCTGACTCCATGTTCTCATACTACTCCATGCCATGCGGCCAACCCTTTTAACAGTTTTTCCAAGAGTAGTTCATGCTGATAAACACAAGATTGTAAAAGAAAAAAAAGACAGGAAGAGTTCATTAACCATGGTTTCCAAAACATCACAGAAAACTTACCCTGCATCTTTACTGATTGCATAGAACCAACATTTGATACATTTGAATGGGGGGAGGGGGCAATTAACATTTTATTGAGGCTCTCCCTGATCCTCAGTCCTATCAAGTAAGTGCTATGATCCCCATTTTACAGATAAGAAAATTAAGGTGCACAGAGTTTAATCACATGTCTGTGATGACACAGCTAGAACTGGTGATTCAAAACAGGGTCTGCATGACTACTACTCTACCCTCTTCTGGGTGTTCACTCAATAAATGAGTGAGCATCCACCACGTGCCAGTGTCAGGGACCGTCCTAAATGTATCTGTCAAATATGATGGATTTCTACCCTGGGCAGGGCTGAAGTGGGAAGAGTGGGATCAGGTGATCTTTTAGAGGCTTGAAGCCCGGTATCAGGGAGACTCAGAAGAAGAATTTTATCCTTTTTTTCACCCCAGCACCTAGACCCAATTTGAGAGCCACAGTATTGTAAGAGATCCCAAAGACCTCCCAGTAGGGCCTCTCAGTCAATGAGGGAAGCTCTGAAGCACTATCTGGAATCTCCGTTTGCATTCCTGTAAGTGGTGGGGAGCTCACACCCTCCCAAGTAACCCACTCAGAAAGTCCCACATTTTCTTTTGGCTCTGAGGGCTCATTCTTCTACCCTCAAGACACAGAGATGTCAAAGGTTGGTCCACACTGAGTCCTCACAGAGAAGAGTAGGCTGCGTTGCAAAGACAAGCCTGTGCTCTGAAGCTACCGTGCAAGTGCCCACGAGAGGAGGCTAGAGCCCATTCTAAGGGGTTAAACATTCACAAGACAACAGGAGGGGTTTGCGCATTCACCAGCAGAGCCTCCTAAAATATTTAAAGGCCAGAAACCTGCAGCCAATAAACAGTGAGCCAAGAACCGTCTCATGACTTCAATTACTACCTCTCTGCTGACACTCCAAAATCCCTCTCTCCAGCTTCATCTCTTCTGAGCTGCAGACCCACCTATTCAACAACCTCCTGGAGCTTCCCCCCGAATCTATTCCTCCCTCTGTGTCCCCATCTCAGTGAAGGGAAACGCTGGTGGCCTCCTGGACACCTCCTCTTTCCTCCCTTCCGTCACCTCAATTAGGCACCAAGTTGCCTCAATTTCACCTCCCAACTCCATGTTCACCAGGTCACTGCTCTCTCTCATCTAGATTACTTCAAAAGCCTTGAAACTGGTCTCTCTGCCTCCAGTCTCCTTGCTTCAGCCCAACCTCCCGGGGCCCCATGCTAACAGCTCCAAAGCATGGATTAGAGAAAACTCTTCAGCGACTCCCTCACAACTCTTAGGATGAAGTCCATACTCCTCAAAAAGGCAGACAAGGCCCTTTAGGGTCTGGTCATTGCTTACCTTTCTGGTCTCATTTCTTACCTTTTGCCCCCTCTTCCCTACAACTCAACTGATCTCCTTAAATTCTTCCAAAATACAGGGCTCTCTTACTTGTTTCCCAGCCTTTGTAAATACTATCCCTTCTACTGAAGAACCATGCCTTTTTGCACCCAGCTAACGCCTACTGCAGGACTGAATCCTACTGCAGATTCAGTTTTTAGCTTAAATGTCACCTCTTTTAAGAAGTCTTCCTCCCCTCAAGACTGAGGTATTGCTCGAGTGCTAGCCTGACACTCCTATTTAATACTTATCACACTGATATCACAATTTATGTATTTGTATTGCTCTTCCACTTGGAATATTTGCTTTACTTAATTTAATTTACCAAACCCAAGCCTCAGACTTTTGCAAGAAATTTCTACAAGGAAATGTCAGAGCAGGGATTTGAAGCCAAATCTCTCTGGCCATAAAGACCACGTTCTTGAGCACTGAAATCCATTGGGCTGGCTCCCCAACAGGACCAAAACTTAAATTTGAGTTTTATCCCTCCAACACCTAGTCTAAGCATGAGGACCCTGGGGCAGGAGGCAGGAGAAAATTACAGGAGTTTGACTCCTAACAATAGGCTGGAATCCTCCAGGGCTATGTCCTGGGTGGAGGGGACATGGTGCTCACTAAGCCTTTGGGTGCTTTCGAACAACCCACTTCCTTTCTTGGAACTCCATGGACCAGGAGCTGGATAGGAGGACAAAGGTATGATGGGGAAAAGTATTTCTTCCTCTACTAGAGACACATTTCTCTCTGGGTTCCATTTCAGTACTTCACTGGGCATAAGCCCAGGTGGTATGGCACGATGGCAGCGATCGCAGCAGCAAGAGCTATGCCACCACGCACCAGCAGCACTACGTGATAGAGATGCGCCAAGCTCCCTACAGGCTTTATCACATTTCATCCTCTTTTCAGCCCTATGAAGTATTGTTCCTCCCTTTTTACAAGTGAGGAAACTGAGACTCAGAGTCCTTAGATGATCTGTCCAAGGGCATGTAATTATCAAAGAGGAGAATTAGGATTCTAGCCCAGTTCTATCTAACCTGGAATTTCAGGCTCTTAAGTTTCTATGTCACTGCTTCTAGGATGCATAAAAATTGCCTTCAAAAGCTTATTAAAATGTAGATGCTTGGGCCCTTTCTAAGCACAGAACAGGTCTGAGGTGTGGAACCCGAAAATGTGCTTTTTAAACAAGCTGCCAGGTGACTCTGATGCAGACCATCCACCGAGAAACAATGCACCATAGCAATGTTTTCCCAAATTATGTTCCTCAGGAGTACCAGTGACATCAAGAAATGATCAGACTCAAAAAAAGTAGGGGGAAGAGGGAGGGAGGGCATATGGTTAAGTGAGTTTAAGAAACACTACATACTCTATTCCTCTCTGGCAGATTTACAATGTATATTCACAAATTAAGAATTCTGAGATGCCCCATGGTGAATGAACTTATTAAGCTGTATTTAACTGAGTATTTCCCAAACTTATCTAACCACAGAATACTCCTCTATCAGAAATACTTATTAACACCTCATAAGCCTCAGCAAATGGAACCGACCTTGGGAAACACTGCTAGGTTATACTTCCTCCTAACCCTAGCTCATGCTGGCCTCTCTCTTCCCTACCTCTGCTAAGTATGCAATGAAATGAGGTCTAAGTTCTAGCATGAGCCTTGCCTCCTCATTTGCTGTGTGACCTTGGGCAAGCCACTTAAGCTCTTTGGGTTTGTTCCTCAGCTATAAGTTGGGGGAATAATCTCTGCTGATCTGTTTATAGGGCCTTCATGACTGAGATAACGGAGGTCCAAATACCATGTGCAAAAACTGTACAGGGCTGCACTGCCTCAGAGGGCTCTTGTAGCATCTTTTGGTATGTGATTATACTCAGTCCAACACTTAGTAATATCCCATGTGACCTGGTTTTCCAATTTTTCCTGCATGGGTTTTATCTCCTAAGTTAGTGTGATCTTGGGCAACTCAGGAGCCCTCTCTGGGCTTTAGTTTCCACCTTTTAAAATTAAAGAACTCTTCTGAGGGCCCTCCCAGCTCTGACTTTCTAGGAATCTAGGAAAAATCAAAATACTAAAAGGTGACACCTGTTGCACTTAGTAGTACCAAATGCTTTACTAGCATCACTTCGTTACACTTCATAACAGCTCTATAAAGTAGACCCTATTATTTGGCTCTGTTTTACAGAGGAGGAAACTTCAGCCCAGAAAGACAAAGTGCCTTGCTCAAGGGCTCAAAACTAAGTAATGGAGCCAGGGTGAGAACCTTCCTCTGATTCTAAACCGCACTTCATCACTCTACCATTGTCACCCAACAACGGACTCTGGTCACATAAAAACCTTGCTGTGGTGTTCTTGGCTGGATCTAGATAGGCTAGCAAGTGGGGAAGAGGCAGCTATTGACAGCTCTGGGTTCTGCTACCGAACTGCCTTCAGTTAGGTTCCATGACTTCAGATTAGTTCCATGTCTTTTCTGGGTTTTATTTTTCCTGTGTGTGAAATGGAGGTGGTGGACTAAGTGCTCAAACAAGCTCCTTTGTGCGGCCTGCTAAAACCACAGATTCTCCTGATTATTCAGATGCAGTATGTCAGGGGTGTATTTTTATCCGACGCCCCAAAGGATACCGAAGAACCAGGGCTCTAAACGTTCTATTGGCGTTGATGACCCCGCCCGGGGCCCCAGCGGGAACCCTGGGAAGGTGTGGAGCCCAAGCCAAGCCCAGCCTGACTCTCTGGGGTCCAAGGGCCCCAAATCTTCGCGTGCGCGACGTCAAAGGGGGCGCGACGCGACCTCCCAGACGTGCAGTCCTGAGTGACGTGAGACAGGAGCGACCGACCATCCCTTTTGCCTTCTCTCCTGCGCGAGACCTCGCTGAAGGCAACCTCAGCGTGGGAAAGGCGGGAGGTGGGGAGAAAGCGAAGCCGGAGGTCCTGGGCCTGGACTTGGCGAGGCCCCTACTTGGATTCGCCCGCCCCTCACAAACTCACCTGCCCGTACGGATAGCTGGCCATGGCGATTCTGACGTCACACGCGGCGAGGGGCGGGGCCTCTGTCAAACCCGCCTCCTCCTGGGTATGGGGCGGGCCCGCTTATGATTGGGTGTATGTAACTGTCGATCCTGGGAGCATGGGTAGACGGGAGTGACGCTATAGGGCGGCGGTCGGGTTCTTCTCGGAGAGGTGGGGGGAGCTAAGATTTGGGTGGTGGTTCCCGGAAATCTCTTTTGCTGTACTGGCGCAGGTATCCCTCCCTTTCTTACCCTTAAGTGGGTCCCAGGGCTTGTCAGGCCTGGGTATTTAGAGAGAAGATTGGGTGGGGTGTTGCAGTCGTGGCCATATTTTAACCTGGCAGATGGGACGCATGATAGTGGCGTAGTTGCTGTCGTCACTACAAGTTTCCGCCCAAGGAGAGCCGCCCAGCGGTTACCGTGACAGCGGGGAACTGAATGAGGCCTCCTAGAAAGGGTAGAGGCGATGGTAAGAAGTACTTCGTTCTAATGTCAAGACACCACGTGCCAGTTAATAGCTTTGGAGTGGGATCAGTGGTATTTGAAGAGGAAAATCCCAAACTGTCGGCGTGGGAGGGAAATTAGATCATCTAGAGCTTCTTCCTAAATAACTGGGGAAAGTGAGATCCAGAGAAGCAGTGACTTGCCCTAGTTCACTATGGGTTAGGGGCAGAGTGTAGCCTAGAACTGGGGTTAGTGGATGCCCCGATTCTTATCACTGGAAGTCTTGACTAGTCCCCAAAGTAGGTCAGATCTTGATTACTAAGCGACCTCATAGCCATGTACTTGCCTCTTGGTGATTCAGGCTCTACACTTGTTTATATGCTTATTTGATGAATTTGTTAGTTCTTCCATGTGAGCAAAGATTGTCTGGTTTTGCTTGTCTTTGTATCCCCAGGACCTGTATTTTTAAAATAAATTAATAGTGTTATGAGTTATTGTCCATTCCAGCCCACGTATCTAACCATCTAGTGAGGCACTTTGCAAAATCACAGAGCTGATCATACTACTTGTCCACTGGACAGCCTACAGTGGCTCCTCTTCATCTACACCTGCAAAATCAGGTCCAGATTCTTCATCATAGCACCCAGGCTCTTCACAGTTTGGCCCAATCTCACCTTTTCAATCTTATTTTGTACAGCCCCTGTCTGTCTGCTGCTCTGTACTCCTATGTTCACTTTCACCACCCAGCCCTCTTTCTTTGGAGTGGGGATTTTGATTTTACCACTTTCTAACTCTCTGGCCTTTGACAAGTTATTTAACCTCTCTGAGTCTGTTTCCTCAACTGTCAGAAACCAATATATAAAAAGATCTGAAAAATGAGCTTAGGGCATCTGCTCATGCCCAGACTTATGCTCAAACCACTCCTTTCACCAGACCAGCAACCCTCCCATCTCCAGTCCTTCAAAGCACAGTTCCAACCCTCACTAGCCACTCTCTTACCTGCCTCCCTTTGCACTTGGTACTGCCACTGTGCTATATTCTAACCTCCTTGTGTAAGAGGTCTCTCTCTCTCTCTCTTTTTAATGCTTTTATTTATTTATTTATTTATTTATTTATTTATTTATTTATTTATTTATTTATTTATTTATGGGCAGTGGTGGGGGTGGTAATTAGGCTTATTTTTTAATGGAGGTACTGGGGATTTAACCCAGGACCTCGTGCGTGCTATACATGCACTCTACCACTGAGCTATACCTTCCCTCCATAAGTGTTCTCTTAGATATTTTCCCCCAAACCCGTTCCTCTCCTTCATCTCAGAAAATCCATCCAGTCTCTCAGGCCAAAGGATCATTCTTGCATGGCCTGGGTTTCTCCACACACTCTCCCGCTTCCATGTGCTTTAGTTCAAAATCAAACCCACATCTGCTCTTTTCTCACAGTTTGCACTGTCTCCTTAGTCTAAGACATCATCCTCTGTGGCCTGGATCATGACAGTAGCCTCCTGATCAGTGTCCCTGCTTTTACTTTTTCCCCACATGCTTTTCTTCATAGGGCAGCCAGAGTGTTTGTCTTAAATGTAAATCAGATAATGTCATTCCTGGGCTTAAACTCCTCCAGAGGCTCCCAATAACTCATAAAAAAATCTAAATTCATCCTTATGACCTTCATGGCCTGATATAACCCAGACCCCACCTGCATCTCCAGCATCACTTCGTGCCACTGTGATCCTCAGATCTCTCCAACCTGCTAGCCCCGTCTCCACCCCTGGAACATACCAAGCTCAATTCCACCTTCAGACTTTGCATTATCTGTTTCCTCTGTCTGGAATGCTCTTCCCTTGACTCTTCACTGGCTAGTTCCTCGTCATCCAGGTGAGTTCAAATACACATTCCAGTTACCTATGACATCACTATGTCTCATTTTTTTTCATAACACATGTCACAACTTGAACTGTCCTCTTTAAAGTTTGTGTGTATATTGTAGGACTATCCTTTACTTATTCAGTCGTCGATCCCCAATGCCTGGAATAGTGTCTCGCATGAGTTCAATAAATGTTAATAGTTAGTAGTGGCAGGAGTGGGAGTAGTCTCCTGTACTGAATGCTCACCAGGTGCCAGACATTGTGCTCAGTACAATGTTTTGTTTCATCTTCACCACAGTCCTTTCAGATAGATATTATTACCTATTTATAATGAGGAGTTGAGGCTGAGAGAGGCTAAGTGACTTCCCTACTATCAAAAAGAAATGGAGAAGGCAGGATTTGAAGCCAGGTCCATAGTCTCTTAACTAATCAGTACTTAGGAGGTCTTCTTTACCTTTGTAAACCACTCCCTCCCCACACACACACACAGTCCAAAAAATAGGTGGCATCAAATTGCAAAATCTCAGAAAGGAAGAATTCCTGCCATCTGGGATGAAGGTCACGGGATATTTGCTCAGAAAGAGAACAGTGATTTCTGTCCTGAAAACTGGGGTAATGGGAGGCACGCTTATTTTATTTCACAAATATATTAACCCATTGAATTCCCACCATTTGCCGGGATCTGTTCTAGGTGCTGAGGATTAAGCTATGAGAATTTCACACCCAAGGTCCCTCTCCCCAGCAAAGAGCTCTTAGGAGAACGTTCTGTTTGATGTCTGTGCTATTTGCAGGCTATTTGCAAGGGTATGCAAGTGATCTCTTAGGCAGTCAGGACCCCAGCAAAGCCAAGTCCAGGGCTGTGCCCCCAAGGACCTGCAGCAGGCCCAGGTGTGTTTATTTTGGAGCGGGCTGGGTACAATGGAGATCGGCATCTTCCAAAGACTGAAAAACAATCAACTCATTTCCAAAACCTCAGCTACCTGAGGCAGACAGAGGTGGGTGGAGAAGTTCCTGTTTTTGTTTCAGCTTTAGCCAAAGGGGAAAACTTGGATTCCAGCTCTTTTTAGAGCACAGAGCACTTTCCTCAGTTCATGGACTCCCCGTGATTGACCCCTTAGAGGTGAGGCAGAGTTTGGTAATGGAAGAAGACCCATCCACTGGAAAATATCACCTCCCAGGGAGACACAGTGTTCCCTCTAGGCATCCTGGCTTAGCTCCAAGCTCCAGTGTTGCTTACTAAGAAGGAATACTAATACCCACTTAATTATTATGGAATTAATTCTCTTTGATTCTGAAGAACTAGATCCAGTTCCAAAATTTAAATTCCAGTTGGATGCTTTGGACCAGAGGGTAGTTCGCAGCTTTCCACAGAACCAACAAAAAAATGAGGACAGCAGACATGGCAATTTGGCCACACTCCCCTCCCATTATGGGATCATGTGGAGAATACATTGATATGTTTTATCCCCATAAACTATTCAGGACAATGACAAAAAGATCTAGGCTTGTAGGGGGTTAACAGACCACACATGAAGAAAGAGTCTAAATAGAACTGCAATGACGGGGGTAAACATTATGACAAAAAAAGATTTAAATTCCAGAAGGCATCATACTTGGGGAATTTTTCTCTGCAGAATAAATATGCAGCAGTCTTTTCTCCATCTTACAAAGCAGAGGGTTTCTCAAATTAAGAAGTTCCTGTTCAGCAAACCTGACTTAACATAGCCTCGCCCAAAACCCTTGCTGCCCACCGTCTCCTGGGCTCACACGCCACATTCCAACCACATGCACTGACTCTCATCACTCAGCACGCCGCCCTCAGTCATCTCTGGACCTTGGCATGTGCTGCTCTCTCTGCCTACATCAATCTCTGCCTAGACAAGGTTAGGTCTCTCATCTCCATGCTCCGCCAGCGCCTGCTACAGCCCCATCATCCCACTTTATTGTAATTACTTGTTTAACTCCCTGCTTTCCCCCCCGAGACACTGTGAGGGCGGGGGCTGTATCTGTCTAGTTTGCCTCTGAATCCCCAAAGCCTGGTATAGTTCCTGGCACAAAGTAGAAAGAGGATATGGACTCATCAAGTTAGATGTTGACAATCTGAGTGATCTATGTGTTGCCTTCAAAGCCCAGAATAAATTCACTAAGAAATGAAGACAGAAGAATAACGGCAGGAATGTGAGGTGTGTCCCCTCCCGCCTTTCTCTTCAGCTTACCCAGCTCCTGAATTTATGAGCAAAAGCTGTGGATTTTCTTTTTCTTTCTTTCTTTCTTTTTTTTTTCTTTTCTTCTTCTTTTTTTTTTTTTTTTTTTTTTGCTGACCACGGTAACAGAAGAGACTATAAAATTCAGCTTTCCATCTGGTTCTTCATGGTCCAAGAAAATGCAGTGATTTCAAACTCCAGAGAGATAAGCACTCAAATCATGAAAGCTTGAACCTAGCCTGTCACAGAATCCCCTAAGAGTAGTATGGATTTGACTCAGGGAAAAAAAGTGGAGGAAGCATCACTCCGTAAGGATTGATTCCCTGGTGGTCCTCAGAGGGGATAAGTTTGATGTCCCCTCATAGCATTTTCCCCCCTCTGGCCTTCAAAGCCAGCCTCCTCATTTCAACAGCTGGTCCTTGCTTCTCTTTCTACTTGCGCCAACGTGCTCCTTATCATGAGGTCCGTCATCAGATAGTGCTTCTCAGGCTGGGCAGAAAGGAAGCTGCCTTCCAATGGGAGCACTTTAACATCTGTCCTCATCCACTGTCCAAAACGGGCTTCTAATTCAATGCAAAGAGGATGTGTTTGCTTTTTAATGTTTTATGTTGGAGCCGGGGTTAACGTGAGAATTGATAGTGAGAGATAAAATGAGAATTGGCTCCTCCTTTATCTAAAAACATTGTGTGAGATCCTTGGCTCACCCCGGAGTCTGCCTGATGTCAATTCCCTGGCCACCGACACACCTCTGCTTCTGGCAGGGAAAAAATAGGGCAAAGGTTCTGAAAAGCTCTTGGTACGTGAGGCTCAATGGGAAAAGGAAATTTTCAAAACTGTGCTGGAAATGCCAGCTCTGAAGGGATTTGACAGCCAGTTTGAAGGCTTCAGGCAGTTTGGATAAGCATCTGGACTCTGGGTACATTTCTCAGCCTGCTATGTGATCCCTTTGAAGTTTATCCAACTTGAATAAACCTTCCAGAAAGCTGGGGCCAGTAAAAAGGCTCTCTTTGGAAGTCCCTCTGGATGTGCCGTGACGCTTTCTCACAGGGCAGCCATCGCATTAGGACAAGAGATCTGAAAAGTAGAAAAGGAAGAAGCTTGAGATAGAATGTTTCTATAATGTTCAACTTGCTGTCTTTTTTCTTGTTCTTCCTAGCTTTTTTACATGTGGAGAAGGAGGCAGCAGATAGATCACCAGTGGACTTTGAGGACCGTGAACTCAGATCAGATCACTGCTTGCCCGTGACCCCTTTGCACCGATGCAACCGGTTTCTGAAGGCCAAGGCTAAGATGTACAGGAAAAGCACCACATGTGTCAGATTAACAGAGAGTAACAAAAGATGCCATGTGTAGCCCAGGAGAGCTGGTGACAGGGCCATGCGTTGGCATAGGCAGGAGTTTCCACCTCATTTCTCAGAGAAGCATTCCCTGGTTGCCTAGGCCAGGGGCTGGAGCCTACCTGTCCTCCTGTTTGCACAGCCTCTCTCATCACAGACTTACTGGAGCAGCAAGAAGAGACTGCGTGCTTGGAGGTGCTGCCAGGCAGATGAACACACCTCGGCACCAGGTGGCATTTCCTAAGGTGCATCCTGGATTGGCTTGAGGTCATACCCAAGAAGTAAAGAGGAAGGGCAGAGGGTGGGTTGGGTACCAACCACTGGTTTCTTTAGGGAAGCAAACAGGAAGGGGTCTTTACAGCTGGATGTGGAATCTTCAAACCCACTTTTGGCTCATTCGCGGGGAGAGGCTGAGCGATGCCCCTTCTCTGACTTTGAGAAGTGCACCATGAAGAAATGGACACAAGGTCTAGAGGACCAAAGGAGACTGAGAAGTATCTTGAGAGGAGAGCTGAGCTGGGGCCCCTAGACAGCAGCATCCCCCAGCTCCACTGGTTGACCACAGACAATGAAGGACATGCCCTCTTTTGACCCAGGGACCAAATGACAAGAGGAGGATGACAGGGAGATGAGCTGCAGCCCCAGAGAAACCCCACTGGACGTGAGATTGCAGTAGTTTTGTTTGTTTGTTTATTGATAAAAAAATATTAATAGCAATTAAAAACAAAACAAAACATTCACAACCCATCACAGAGTCCTAAAAGTTTTAGCCACTTGTTCCCAATGGAGTCCTTCATCTGACAGAGATGGTGATTTCAGCCAAAAGGCCCCTTCATGTTTTTCATGGGTGGGTACTGCTGCTCCATTGGCATGGCCCCAAAGCAGTCCGAGGGGTTACAGTGGCCGGCCTTGCCCGGCTGGCCCATGGGGCCCGGGGGACCAGGGATGCCAGGAATGCCTTGCTGGCCCATCGGCCCAGTGGCTCCCATCTTGCCGTACCCGGGAGGACCCTGAGGACCTGGAGAGGAAAGAGTCAGAGAAGGAGAGTCAGGAGACCCAAATCACAAGAAAAGAAATAATGGTCGTGGGAAATAACACCTTACACTTGATGAATATTTCTCCAGTTACAACATGTTTTGATGAAGACCTCATCTGATCCTTACATGAATTTAATGATTACAATCATATTACTGGAGAGTTTTATTCAGAGTTTCCATGGGCCAGGCAAGTGCTTTTTTCTGCATTATTGATCGAATCTTCACAACAATTCCATGAGAAAGGAAGTATTCTCTCATTTTGGAGACACAGGCTCAGAGAGGTCACACACGTAGTAAGTGGTGAAGCTGGATCTCAGAGCCAGGCCATCAGGCTTTAATCATTTCTTAAGCCAGGAGAACACCTGGCTTAAGTGACCTCATCAAGGTCATATAGCCAGTAAGATGCCAAGCAGGACCTGACCTTGCATTCCCTGGGCCCACCACATCCAGCTCTCTTCCACTGCGTCATGCTGGCCCAGTTCAGGACTTGAGGGCAGGCACTAGGCCAGCATCTTCTACACCACCCCCCGCCCCACACCACACACAGACACAGACACATACACACACACACACCCTACTGGAGTGTCTTGCACACAGCAGCATTACTATACAAGTTGGTTGATAGGCTTGTGGTTATTTGAGGTTCTACACAACTGTGTTATGGAAGGAACATAAAGAAAGGCGACCTCAGCTGCTTATGGGCAAAGGCTGGCTTTTCCTACCTGGGGGCCCAGGGGGACCAATTTCTCCTGCAATGCCAAAACCAATGTCTCCCTTTTCACCTTTGGTACCAGGCAATCCTGGAACAAAAGAAATAAAATAAGAGGTCCTATTCCTGAGTAGGAAAACGACAACCTAGTTGGGATTATTTGAAATACATGCACATCAAATGCCACATTCACAACAGACCTCGTGCAGCACTCGTGTTTGCCCCGGAGAGCTAGGTGTGCACCTCAGTAACCGGAGGGCAGACCTACCTCTCACTCCTGGTAAGCCCTGCCGTCCTTCTCTGCCTATCTGACCAGGGAGCCCAGGTGATCCCGGAGAGCCTGGCCGGCCCGGGGGACCATCCTTCCCTGGGGGCCCTGGTCGTCCCGGAGCTGCCACCATTTCCATGGGGAACTGCATCCTGGAAGTGTAGTAAGCCATCCTTTCTGTAAGAAAGGACAGGGACAGGTCACAGGGCACTGCAGTGACTCAGTGACTGTAGATGATACAGAGAGGCGACCAGCAGAGAGTCCGAGACAGCCTTTCTTCAGAGGGATGTCAGAGCAAGGAACGTGTAGGTGGATCTCGTAAGTGGTCTCCTGCGCCCTCGCCCCCACACTGTTCTCCACATGATCTGCCTGAAGCACAGATCTGATTACAGCATCTCTCCTCTCCAGCGGCCTTCATTAGTTCACCACTGGCTTCAGAATAAAGTCCCGATGCCTTGCTTGGCATTCAAGGTCGGCTTCCCAAGCAAGATGCCCAGCCCCTTCAGGACAGGCTCCATGTTTTCTCCAGTCCCTAGCCTATCAGTGTGGGGGGAACAAATGAACAGGAAAAAAGCTTAAAACGAAACCACACCAGCCATCTTACAGTTGCTACTCGCTCCTCTATTCAGAGCTCACTCTGTGCAGACTCATTTGATACCAGTTTTCTTGCCCATCTCCTTTGCTCCGGGGGGGCTCGGGGAGGGCACGAGGGAATCGTTTTATCTCTGAACAAAGCAGGTGACAGGGACGGTCTGAAGTCTAATTGAACATATGCCTGTAAGTGGGGGAGTGTGTGTGAATGGGGTGGATGGATATTGAGCTTTAAAGGAAAGGAGGCCAGGGTGGGGTGGAGAAGCAGCTGGGAAGGGCGAGCAGCACCCACTGCCACCCAGCCGGCTGCCAATTACCGTCAAACATTTTAATGATCTCTTGTCTGATGAACCTCTTGATTTCATCATAATTCACCATGTCTCCCTGAGGAGAGAGAAGAAACCTGCCTCAATTATACTTCCAAGCCTGGTGCTCATCTTCCCTGGGAACAGACTTCATGGAATTAAAGGATGGGGAAGGGGAGCAGAGGTCCCAAGAGCCTCCTGCAGATACTTAACCCAAGGTCCTAACCCCCCTGAAATGGTACAACATATTTCATAGATCGGCAGACTTTTCTGGGGAAAGTGTCCCCAACTCCCCTCCCAAACTCTCCCATACAGTTAAGAACCACCCACAGAGGGGCCATGCTCTTTCCTGTAGGGTGTCAGCAGGAGCTTCTAAAATAGTCCATGCTCTGCCCCACATGCCTGCTCTGTGGGACAGTGTCTGTGGCTGCCAGCTTTCCCCTTACCATGGAGCCAGGCACCCCAGGCAACCCGGGGCTCCCTGCAGGCCCCGGAGATCCAGGGTGGCCTCTCTCTCCTGCAGGACCCGGTGGCCCAACAGGTCCCATGTCGCCACTCTTGCCAGGCCCGCCAGGCATGCCAGCTCTTCCCTTCTCTCCTGCCTGGCCCTTCTGTCCTGAAGGTCCTGGATCACCCTACAAGGACAGGAAGTCACAGGTCAGCATTGCCAAGTGTCATCAAGTCTACCTCATGATGTCTCAGCAATCTGCCCCTGTCTCCAGGACCCTACTGGGCCCCCAGCATCTCCCTCTGGACTGTGCCTACAGCACCCTGACAGGTTGCCCTGGGTCACTGCCCCCAGAGCAGTCCTTCTAAAGGACAGTTTTCACAGTGTTACTCCCTGCTTAGAAATTCTGAGGGCTCCCAACTGTTCTTGGGATAAAAGCCTAATTTCTTGGCCAGGCATTCAAGACCATTCACGATGTGGTCCTGATCACATCTCCTCCAGCCTCGTTTCCCTCCCTTGCACCTGCAGCCACACCTTACTGGTTATAATTCTGATGTGGCCATGCCATCTTGGTCTTCTTTGCCTGGAATGCCTCCCCTCCCCTCTCCCCAGTGCAATCCTCCTACTCAGCTGAAATGTTCCTGTTCTCTGCACAGCCTCCCTGATGCCCCAGGTTGAGTTGATTGCTCCCTCCCTCGGATCCCACAGTGCTACATCTAATCTTCTGTAAAACCTGCCATGCTCCAGTGTTAAGTGTGACTGGACTCACTGGAAACCTATTGTTCAGGGACTCTGTTTACCCAAGGCTAGGAGAGAGGGCCTGGCAGGTAAGCAAGGCCAAGTGGATGCTCGCAGAATGAATGAATGAATGAATCAATCAATCAATCAATCAATCATGAGTAAATAAACTGGAGAGTTCCATTCTCTCAACCTTCATTAAGAACCCTGAAACAGCCCCATGTGGGAAGTTTTCAGAGACAAGGTTGCTCCAAGTTCTGCCCACTGGCCTTCCTGCGTCTCCTCTCCTTGGCTAAACTCATAGCTTGGAGCTGGGTTTCATCAACTCATGAGCTTCTCCTTTCAAACCCAGCCAGTGCCCACTCACCTTTGGGCCAGGGGGTCCGTAGAGTCCCTGTTTTCCAGGGGGTCCCTAGAAAAAAGCAAAAGTCAGGGTCAAGTCTGGGCAGCATTTCTAATCTCCCCTGTCCAGCAGAGGCAGCTGCTGTGAAAGGATCACCCTCCACAGCATTAGGGCTGGGCTCTGTGTGAGAAAGGATGACAGCCTCTCTGCCAACAAGAGGGTAGACAGCTAGAAAGAAGAATGGTGTTCCCAGGGTGTGGCCTTATATGATCATGTTGGTTGGTCCTTTGTCACAGACAAAAAGAGGTGAGAAGTCAGAATGAAAGGGAGCAGCTGGCAAGAGCTAGTGCCCAGAAAATGCTTATTTAGAGTTTATCATCATCATCATCATCATCATCATTCTGGTTATTTTTGACGAAGTATATGGTAAAAAAAAAAGTGTGAAAAACAAGCCTCACTCTCATCCTTCTCCCCTAATCCCTAATTCCTCCTCCCAGAACTACAAGGGTACCAGCTCCCTATGTATCTGTCCAGAGGTAGTCTGTGCATAGAAAGAGCTTTTGTTGAATGAACAAAGAGGGGTCAGGGCAAAGCGAGGTGCAAGAAGAAGCATCCCCGAGAGAAAAGAAGCCGAGCACAACGGTACCTCTTTGCCAGCTGCGCCATCCATGCCAGGTTCACCCTGGGGAGCAGAGAGCAACGGAGGTGTGACTAATGCCAACCCAGCTTGGTGTCACGTCATATCTGGTGAGGCACCCACCAGATATGACCAGCCCCTGTTCCACCAAGGAGCCATGCTCCTTTCTCGCCCCACTTGGACACTCTGGGCACAAGCCATGGGCACATAGACCACACCCCACATTGCAGCCTGGTCCTGGCCGCCCCCTGACTGAGCTCTGTGAGGGAAGTGCAGACTGCGCCTGCCCTGCTCTTTGCTTGGGATCCTGGCATCTTGCAGATTCTCTGGCTCTGAGTATGTTAAGTGTTTGCTGAATGAAGGTGTGAGCCATGAACCTCTGTCCTTAGTGAGGTCCCAGGGTCCAGGCCAGGGCAGCCCAAGCCTGCTCTCTTCTTGAGATAGGAGAGTCTGCCTCCCGAGCCCTGCCCACTTCTGGTGGGATGCTGGGGAAGAGAAATCTGTGATTGCAAGGCAACTGACAGGTTTACCCTGGGGATCCTGGTGGCTCCTGAGCCTTGGGCAGGAGGGATGAAGGTTTGGAGGGACTTGGCAGGAATCAGAATGAGTAAGAGGCAAGACTCAGCCCTCTTAGCAGGTGGGCAGACCGATCACCCCTGCACGGGCTGGAG